CTGGATAAAACAAAATAAAATTACATTTAAAGTATAATCTAGTAATGTGTGATAATAAAAGCTGGCCAACAGTCTGGGATCTGATCAGCATTTCCGTTTGTGTGTTCATCATCAAGTAGGTATGTTTTTTTTTGTTTTTTTTTTCTTTTTCACAATGATATTCACCTGTATGAGGCTCAAAAAGCCATTCAGTGTAGAGGGTTACAGAGTAAGAGGTACAGTTTATGAGGATATGCAGGGAAGTTAACCCTAGAGTTGAACAGGTTAAGATTGTAGTAATTGGGGAAGCATCCTCTTGGGAGTTGATTCCACAAAGTAGCAGAAAGAAGCTGCTTGAGTGGAGAAAAAAAGAAAGGAATGGGGGGGGTAACAATGTGTGTGGCATGGCAGGTGCTAGCTATGAAGGTTACAACTGGCATAACTTAGGAATGTAGTTCGTCTGAAATGGAAATCGTGGTAGAGCAATGAGAGGTTTGTGACATTTCAGTAGTTGTAGGATGGAAAATATTTTGTCACCCACAAGGATGTGGAGATGCTTTTGAACTATCAAAACTAGAAAGTGAAGACTAGGTAGCTCCTGCCTATATGTGACAGCACTACTCCATTTTTCAACCTGATCTGGCACTTCACTGGAGCTGTACAAGGAATCAACTATTTTTCCATTATCTTTAGTGATGGATCATATGTATGAGTTCCACTTGGGGGTCTGGGTTGAGTTCAAGTCTCAATAGGTGCCTAAGACATGGAGCCTCCCTGTTCCTTGCAATTGGTGATGATGAAATGCATGTACTATCCTCCTACTTGTTCTCCTATTTTTTTTTTTTTATCTATAACTATGGAGGATGGAATGATTACATTCAAGTTCTGAATTCAGAATTGTCCTTTCTCTTACACTGGTTGCCAACCAAAGCTAAAGAGTCCAGTGTGCCTTGCTATTTAACTATAGATAGGGAAAAAGAAATGAATTCATGCCTTTCCCTAGACCAGTGGTTCCCAAACTTTTTTCTCTTGGACTCGTTTTTGGGATGAAAATTTGTTTGCACCCCACCAAAGGAAAGTCCTGGTGAAAAGGTGCAAACAGCCTTGTCGCAAAGAAGGTTTATTAATTAAATATAATTGAATTTGACACCATACAAAACCCACCATCTCTACCCCAAAAATATTAAAATTTCCTAAATTTGAAATAAATACATTAAAAGAAAAAAAAGAAAAAAAAAAAGAAATATTTTGAACTGGGCCAAATAAGGAACCTAGATGTATCTCTAGTAACATATAACATCCAACAATCTTTTTATTAATATATGCTAGTGAAATTTTGTAGAGACGAATATCATATGCCATCAAATATGGCAATTACCTTCATATGTTAAATGCTTATGTATTTATGTATGTGCTGTCTATAGACAATTTTAAATGGAAAACATATGATATAGTAAATAAATTTCATATTTATAAAAGGGTGGATCAATAAGTCTGTAGCCTGACACTGTATAATGTTCATTATATGATCAGCAGAAAAGCATTGGGTTAAGTGCATTGACAAAAAAGATGTTGAAAAAAAAAAAAATTTTTTTTTTGACCCATCATTAGACTATGAATTTACTGATGATACATTTACATATTTATTAGTCTATGCTCTAAACAAAATATTTCTGTCTTCAAAAAGTAGAGATAAACAAGGGTAAATTTTTTGTGAACATGAATGCCAGTGAATGCTTGTCAATGATTTCTAAGTTCCCCCATTGGACTACAATCATCTTTACTAAATTTAAACCCCATTCAGATTAGATGCAGCATTTTGCAAACTTCAGTAAACTCATTGCCACCACATGCAACAAATACAAATCTCAGACTCCATGCCACTATTAATCAGGTAAAAGGAGAGCTATATTTTAGAATGTAATGGTGTAATATTTATCACTTATGTTTTATATATATATATATATATATATATATATATATATATATATATACATACATATATAGGGAAAAGGTGCTCCAATGCGAGAAAAATGTATATTTTAAAAAAGAGAGAAATTGCAAACATTTTTGTGGAATTGTTTTAGTATATATATTATTTTATTCTTCATATTACTGCTACATGAGTTTCTGGTCTCATGACCTTCTTCAGACAAATAAAAGGAATAAATTTTCTTTATATTCTTTTAATGTCTCATTGTTCATTTTCTGTATTTGCTAGTGAGCCTTGAACTCCTTTTTGGATTGTTGACAAAAGTGAATTTCTGCCTAAGTGTTAATAAAACCATTAGATTTGGTATGAGAGGTGGTGATGATAGATGTGTTGATGAGAGATGTCTTCCTATCCCTGTGTGTGTTTTCCTGTTAGCCTGCATATGTATATATTTGTTCTCCATGTATACCTGTTTGCACATACATACGTGTATGTATGTGTGTAGTCCAACCAGTGTATCTGACCATCATATATGCATGCATGTGTGTGGGGTTATGATCTGTACAGTACTGGTTTAAATTTTTCTATGAAGTTTTCTTCTGAATTTGTAGGAAAGATTAGTTGTCTGTTTGGTATATTGGCATAATTTAAAATTTGCCTTGATTGCATTCATGGATGTGTTGCAATACAAAGAGTTTTCTATTGTTGGGTAATTTGATGCTAATTTTGTGAAGGGCAACTCTGTTGTTAAGTGCCTGGCTGATGCCTATATATATGAATTTTTGCATTTTGTGCATAGATCACATTTTTGGAGTTGCAGTTTAAATTTTTATTTATTGTGAATGTAGTTGTGGGATTTTCAAAAGTGTAGGAGTTCCCTTCTATAATGACATCACAAACCCCACATCTTTTTTTATTGCATTTTGTGACCCACTGTATATTGTGTTGGTTAAATTTGGATGAGGTTAATATATATTTCAGGTTTTTAGATTGGCATTTGCTTTTAATTATTTTGGTTGTTTTTAGTATATTTTTCATTTTGCCATTCTTGTTAAGTAAGTCTAGATTTCTTGTAATTTCTGTAAATACTTCTAGATTGTTCTTGTTCTATGTTGAGACATATGATAGGGTTTGTTCGACATTACATTTTTTTTGATGTCATAGTTGGTCTAGAGGTGTTTTTTCTGCTAGTTCAAAACCGTTGTTTATTAGTGTTGTGGGGTAGCCTTGTTTTTTAGAGTTCTATATAGTTCTTCTGAAGTGTTTGTTGGTCACTATAGAGAAAACCCTACATGCTAGGGAATAGGGGATAGATTTCAGACTGCTTTTTGGGTGATGGCTCTTGAAATGAAGATATTGTTGGGTGTCTGTAGGTTTGTGGTAGATATCTGTGATTATGTGGCTGTTTCTATTTCTAATCTAAAAATGGTAATTCGTTAAAATTATATTCTTGGGTGAATTTGATTTTTGGGTATTTCTGAAGTAGAGTGTGGAATTAGTTAATATCGCCCTATGAGGATTTCCAGAAAATGAAGCAATCATCCAAGTATCGTTTCCATGATTTAGTGGAGTGAGTTTTTATATTTTCCTCTTATATTTGTTCTATCTGTTCATATAGGTTTTCCTCTAGGTAAGCTAATGTTAGGGTGGCATATGTAGGTGCCATTTTCATTCCCATTGTGGTACCTAGGGTTTGGATATAAATTTTGATGTCAAACTAATATATGCTGATTCATGTGCATGCTAGCAGGGATATGCACACACACACACACACACAATACACAAAAATGGAAATGGATTTGACAGTCTCAGGGGTGATGTGGGGATAGGGGTGTATCTATCATCAACACATGTCATCACTACCACTAAGGCCAAACCTAATGATTTTATTACCGCTTAGGGAGAAATTCACTTTTACCAACAGCCCAAAAAATGAGATCAAGGCTCACATGAAACATTAAAAAAAGCATAAGGGGATTTTATTCCATTAAAAATTGATTCCTTTAATTGAAGAATGCCACGAGACTGGAAACATGTGTAGTAAAAAATATGAAGAATAAAATATAATATATACACTAAAACAACTCCATATTATAACCAAAAACATTTTATGGTTTCTCTTTTATTTATATATATATATATATATATATATATAGTAGCATTATATATATATATATATATATATATATATATATATATATATATATATATATATAAATAAATATATACACACATTCTAATTAATGTACATGAACATATTTTGTGATTATTTTGATTAGTACTTGTGTTATCTGAATTTCAAGTCAAATAAAAGCAAAATGACAATAGGAAATCCATTTCAGTAATATGCACAACTGCATTTATCACTCAGCACAGTGTCATTATAATGATTAAAAGATTAAGAGCAAATTCTACCAAGAGAAGATTATTAAGAAGTGAAAACTACCAGCTGCAGAGAACAACTTTAAGAAGAGTCATTAAGAAAATATTCAACTTGTGATAATGAAATCACAAACTCATTACATGGCACATGTGACTGATATTCACAAAGTTTGTTTTTTTTTTGTTTTTTTTTTAAATCAACTGGCTCTAGTCAGAAAATAGAAGCCTTAAAAAAAAAGAAATACATTTTAATGTTTTCTAGACTGATATAAAGATGTGTGTGTGTGTGTCTGTTAATGTTACTTGAATGCTAAAAACTTAAAAAACATGTTATAATAAATATCAACTAATGTATAAGTTGTGATTAAATAGGAAAATTAATGACAAAGTGGAAAAAAACTCTTGAGCACCAACAAACCTTTTGCTCTATCTCTTATCTTTTCTACTTATTATTTGTCTTACCCACCTCCATTTTTATCACAATCTCTGTATGATCTATATCAGCCATCTTTCTCCTCTTAGTGTTATCCTTGGCATTGCTCTTTCCATTGAAGTTTGTGTATTTAACATCAGGTTAGTGAATTCATTCTTTTAACAGACAAGTTAATAACTTAAATATCTGGAAATTATCTGATGCTCTTTTTGAATTGGTTGGGATTCATAATAATGCAAAAAAAGGTTTTTTATTTGTTGTTCTAAGAAACAA